AGAAGGTTTCCTTACGCTGCCCTTCGTCCTTGCGCTTGAATCCTTCTTACAGATGAGAACAATATTAGCACCAGTGAGACCGATACCCAGGCTCTGTTCAGAGCAAGTCAGGCTCTGCCAGAAGCAGGGGGTAATCAGCACAGTAATTAAATGTGCAAATAATGGGAATTTGGGAGTTATAACAAAAGGCAGAGAAATAATCCGGGGGGGCCTTAGAGAAATTAGGAACACAGAGCAAAATCTAATCAAGCAGAAAATAGCCCAACTAGAGCCAACGGCTGCGGGCTAAGGCAGCCAGCCTTGGAGCGCTCCTCCCCTGGCATCTGGGGGTATCTCCAGTGCCATTTTGGGGCAGAATAAGAGTTTTTGGAGAGATCTGTTCCTGCTTGGTGAACAGGGCTGGCTGCAGGCTGGGTTCCTGGGAAAAGTTCCCAGATCTGCGCTATCAGTGGACGGTGGATTTTGAATGTAATATTGATGGAAATAATCACTCAGAAGAGCAGTCTGGGGAAATGCAGCTGATGGAGGTGGAGGAAAGATACCTGAGGCCAGCGGAAAGTTGGGCTGTTTTGGGGGAGAAAATGGTTTTTCATTGCAATGGGTTTGCAGGGGCTTAAATATTTTGTGCAGACATACTGTTCCCAGCCGCAGTGTTTCCCTGGGATGAGCTCGGACACGCAGAGCTCTCTGGCCAGGGGGACGTAAATGGAAAACGTGAGCTGGTTTTGGTCTGCTGGACACAAATCCCCTTGTGAGCATCCTGGGAGGGACTCGTGGTAGGGGAGAGCAGCAGGCTGGAGCCAGGCTCTGGTACAATCGATTCGTGCTCATGCTAAGCCTTGCCTGGGTTTCCATGGAGGGATGCGGTGGCGGGTCATTGCATCCCTGGGAAAATGGTCCATGAGGCTGGGAGCCAGACCCAGGGGACCTGGTGCTGTGCCACGGGCACCCTGGGGACCAGACCTCAGGTGGCACCGGCAGGGCTGAGTGACATCCTTGGCTGTGTGTGGGAGGGGATGTTGTCTCTGAGGACCTGCAAGGGGACATCCCATGGGGTGGAATGACCTTCTCCCTCCACCAACGGAGACCCCAAACCTGTGGTGCACAGGCAGGGATCCCTCCATCCGACGGCAGGTACCGCAGAGCCTTGTAGATCCGATCCCAGCCTGACATCCAAAGCTATCCCAGAGTCTCACCCAGACCCGTCTCCCAACGCTCCCTACAAAAGCCCCTTGCCAGGGGCAGCTGCCTCCTGGCCCCTCCAGCTGCTTTCCGCCAGTGCTTGAAAGGATCTTTCAGTAAGTCCCAATCAAAGAGGCGCATGGCAAGGAGTGAGCTGCTCCGACGGGAAAGCACATCCCACCAGCCCCCACCCCATCCTTGTTTTCCCATTTCTCTGCCTTCCGCCCCAGGGAGGTGACCTGGCGGTGGGCTCAAAGCCAACACAAGGCAACAGCCCTTAAACTGGAAAGAAAAGGCTATTAAAGACGGGATTGCCTCTGGCTTGGGATGTTCCAGAGCCCCAGATTGCCAAAGCTCAGGAGAAGGTAGCAGGGACCTGTCATCGCAGATTTTCCTTCTTATCCCCTGGCTGAGTGACTTTTGCTCTGTCCTGGGGTGGCTGTGTTTGGGCTCAGTACCCCCAAATATTTCCCAGCTCAGAAATGCAGCCCCCGAGACTGGGAAACAGAGGCACTGAGAGCACGAGCCACAGGGCAGGAGCAGACCCGTCTCCCACTGGCTGCGATGCATGGGACCTGTGGAGACCACAGGGTGCTGGGACCTGGGATTTTAGGAAAGCTCCCAAAGCTACAAGCTGTGAGATGCCAGTGGGGCTGAGCAGCCTCAGCACT